ATTCGAACTTCACCATTGAACTCGACTCTATGCCGATAACGAATATGCTCAAGGATGGGAAAACCAATAACTACAAACTGAAGAAAGTTATTGAGGATATTTCACATATCATGAACCAAGCCAATGTTACTCCTATCCATTGCTTTAGGGAGGCTAACCAAGTGGCCGTTCATCTCGCTAAGCTTGCCTTGTCCAACCATGTAAACAAGATTTTTCTAAATTTTTAACAGTTTCCTAGTGGTGCCAAAGGCCATTTCATCTTGGACAGATTGCAAATGCCTACCATTAGAACAAAATTCGACAGGGAAATTTTTTTTGTTAGTTGAACATGCTTAGTTGATTTTTTGTCGAATAGGGGAAGTAACATTACTATACTTTCTCTTGTTCTTTTTGAAGGACATCCTTTGTCCTTGTATTGTAATCTTTGGAGGTAAGGCCACACCCCCCTCCATCATTTCAAGATAATACAACACTCCCATTTAAGCTGGGAAATTAATATATATAAAAATCACACTATGTAAACATGTACAGCGTGTGCACTCACGAAAGCAAAAGGTACAATGGTACTGTAGCCTGGAAGATAAACAATATTTCAAGTCTGGATTAGTGTATAGACAATCGATGCTCCATATGATAAGAGGTGATTTTATGGGAATAGAGACTAGTATTTTTATATGAATGTTTTATGGTTATCTTACTAATTGAGAGATTCAGGAGTACAAATTAATATTTAAGATAGAATTAGATGTCAGAATTAGTATTTAAACAATTGATGCTCCATATGACAAGAGGTGGTCATAATTTTACTGATCATCTTGTACATGCTAGTTAGCTATACTGTTCATCTTTAGTTATGTTTATCGAATATATGTCCTGGTTTGGTTTACTTGGGGCATGTATTGAACTGGGTTATTAATGTTTTCCATGTGAAGTGGTGATTAAGGATGCAGCAAATGAGAAGCAGTACTTTAAAACACAAAGAAAATGGATGGGATAAGGTAGAAAATGTGATAAATGTGAGAGGAACAGCTAGTATAGATGCACATAACAATAATCTTATTTGGTATTTAAACTTCCGAACCTAATTAATGCATTTTCGGAAAGACAAAGAGAGAAAAGAGGATAGATGCTAGATAGATTTGCGAGGTGGAAAAAACATTAGAGGTATAGAATCCTAGCTAGCTAGTCATACCAAAATAACGTCGTGACCTGTTGCTTTACCCCCCCAGTTTCCAAGCATTATTTTTTCAACTATGACTTTCTAGGTACTTTACCCTTCTGTCACTAGTAGTAACAACACAATGCTGGGAAGGATGCAAAAATTGAAGGAAGCAGACTTGATGTGGAGTTCCATTATGCTGCCAAGGCACAGGATCTATAGTATATGGCTGGCCAAACCAGGGTAAATTAATTGCTGATCGACAAAGGAAAGACTGAGCAGGCTACATATGCCAATAGAGAGTAACCAGTGCTGTCTCTGTGATGATGCTAGGGAAGGAACTCTGATTCATCTATTGGCTGAATATAGATGGATAACAGTTTTTGAAGGGGAAACGGAAAACTGGTCCAGCATAAGCATACAGAGGAAGGGGGTCAACTAATGCCTGCACTGGATCAAAGTAAGACATTAGATAATTCAATTCACGAAGGAAGCGGTAACTGCAATATGGGGGCACTAATATACCACACATGGAAAGCAAGGAACTGGAAGCAATTTAAGGGGGAAACTGTAAATAAAGAGTTAGTCGTAGCACAGATTCAACAGGAAATTAATAAAGGGAAGGATAGATCACATGAAATATTCAAAGAAAGCTAGCTCGTAAGAGTAGTTTTCTTATTCAGGAATTTTGTAACTAGTATATATGATCTATTGGAGGCTTGAAAAATGTTAACACCCTTCCTAGAAGGCAGTTACATGCATGTTCTAAGTGCTCTTTAGGTATATTATTTTTGGTTGTCAACGGTAATATATTCACAGTTTATTACCAAAAAACTATGACTTTCCAGGTGCTTTACCCTTCTACTTTTCGTCTTAGAGCTTGGAATTCTACTTGTTTCCATATTATGATCGATGATGTGACACTAGAAATGAACTATCCACAGCGAAAGAGAAATGTTAACTTAGACAACACCGGAGTTACGTTTTAGAACCTCAAATAGGTAATGCTGAGATGGAGATGCATTCCCAAATCTCTTATCTTGGCCAAATAATTAAACACACTGTCGATTTCGAGATTGAACGTCTCTGTCCAAGCAATAATATAATAATAGGTCGTTAATGCGAGCTTAGCTTCTTGTGGAATTGTTTCGGTGAGAAAGCCGGTGGTGGCTAAAGGCTGGCAAGTGATTCTCCAAAGTTACATACAATCCTTTTTTAAAAAAATTAATGTCGTCTTGTAATGACGGGGATGTGACATCGACCCCTATCAGGTAGATTAATAACCAAAAGCTAAAGACATGAAGGAAGGGACATAAAACCTATAACCTCCTCGGAATATGGATAAGAGTTGCACATGCCCAACTCTTCACAGTAAACTTGCAAAAAATCGATGCAAATAAATGTAAAACAAGGTGGAGATTATATAATAAACGGCAAAAAAAACTGACTCGATAAAGGATGTTAATGGTACACCTAGGACAAAAATCAACAACATAGTTAACCTAGTCATTAGCATCATATACAAAAGTAGTCTTGGAAGCTCTTATTCTGAAGCTTGCTAATTGATCCTTATCCATAAAGCATAGACCTCTCTAGCTTGACTTGGGAGTTCATGAGCAGAGAAATATCATGTAGTACTGGTTCTTTCTGATCCGGGCATCACTAAATGAACTTTCAGATGGTATCAATTTAGTGATCAGAAATTTTTTAGGGAACTGAAACCTAGGTAGCTAATAAAAACCTCCCCCATTAATCACCAAGCTTTATTGTATATGTTTCATCCTTCTATATTGGCTTTAACATGACACAACCAAAGTCCTCCTCATTAGGAACTCTTGACTGCAAAAGATTTAGGAAAATGAAGTTTAAATATTGGAATAATATATAGAGGGAATTTATGAACTTATAAGTTGAATGTTCGCACTTAATATGAATATAAATTAAAATCCTCGTATTCCTTGTCTAACTGTTAATTATAATTGTTGATATTACTGTGTTCAAAATCAGAATTAAACAAACATTAGTTCAATAAACAAAACGTAAAATAATTCCGAGCCCACTGAATGCACAGTGTGTCCTTAAGGAATTTAATTCTCTCATTGTTGCCCAAGGTATACAGATTAATTCCTCCCAGGATAGAACAGAATAACTATTCTTTGATAGCGGCACTTCAAATCACAGAACTTCAGCGAACTCAACAAACGGAGCAAATCACACTTGACACTTATGTTTATTTAAAAAATAATGCAACATTAATGTAGAAAAGAGGGGAAAAGATTTCAGATTTTTCATCTATAAAAAATGAGGCCAAACCTCTAAATTTATAGACATTGAAAGGGTGAGATGAAGCGATGCAATCCAAGAGGTGCCTCTACCATTTTTCATTCGCACCCCTTAATAAAAACGCAACAATAATTAAATACGTAAATATGGTCATTGGACTAACTAGGGATGTGTGGGAAAACCAAATCTGTAGTAGTTATGTAGACTCTGTGTTATAGACTAAACATTGTAGTAATAAAATTTTATGCTGAAATTATTTTTCCTTATGCGTCCTATAAAATGACCCCTGGAACAAGTACTAAAATCCTAGCGACATCAAAGACACAAGGAGATCCATCGAATCCAATAAACTTAGAATTTGAGAAGTGAGTATCTCAAAGGTAGATGAGAGCGTATAAGCATAGAACTATTCTTTGGTGGAAGACGAAAAGTAAGAAGAAGAAAAAAATGATAATTGGAAATATTTGTAAAACATCTAACTATATCTTGTATATATTTATATTGTAAAATTTGGGTATAGTATCTATATAATTGAATACTAGGTTATAGCAGGCTATTACTCTCTTTATCAAGTTCATAATTCATAGGATCTTATAGTTGATTTTTGTAAAGTTCAAATTCTATATAGTATTATAAATAGTTAAAAGAATTTTTGTACTTATAAACCAAACACAGTTTATATTACATATAGAAGATGAACGCATTTACAAAACCTGATCAGATAGCTTGAAAGTTAAAATAATGATTTCATTCATGAGATCTATATGAATTTCTTCCCTCCTTCACTACAATTAATTTGTTTAGCACACAGTAGTATATAATCCTGCCAAAACGTAATCAAGAAAGTTCTTGAGGTCAACGACATCGTTACCTACCACAGACGTTATAATTTTCAAAAGAAAAAAGGAGTAAAAAACAAAAACAAAAAAAACCGAAAATTTATAGCTTAAATTACGTTGCAAAGCTTGAGGAATCAAAATAAATTGTTAAATCATTAAAAATAATGTAAGCTTCTTAAATCAAAAAATAAAAATAAAAATAAAGGAAATTTGCATGCATCATATCAATAAATATTCACATGTATCTTTCACATATATTTATCTCTTAATCATAACTAGTTACGAGAAAATATATCTATTTTTATCTCAATATAATACTTAACCACGATAAAGTTAATATATATATGGACTATGGAGAGCGAGATTTTTTTCTTAAAGATACAACTACTATTTCCAGATAATAGAACACCAACTTACAGCTGGGACCGGACCAGACTAGATTAGACTTGTGATTGGAGAACAACAGAATAACGAAACTGAAAATGGTCCATATCTAGCTAGACCAGAGACCATAGTCTACGATGTACATATATAGTTAAACTGCAAACTACAAACCTGAAATTCCTGCGCGCACTAAATCTAAAATAGAAGCATATAACAACATGATTATAACAGAAAAAAGGTGACAGATAGAGTTGGTGGAGGGGGGGAAAAGATAATATGCATATGCTCAATTCTCTCTGTCCCTTTCATGCCATTAAGTGGACAAAAAGGACGATTCAGAGAATTCGTCCTTTGGCCGCAAATTTTGGTGCTGCGGGGGTAGTAATTCCATTGAGTTCTTCAAAGCTCTTGATAATATCTTCAGTCATGAAATTGTTAGGAATCAGAATAACTTTCTCCTCCTCCTCTTCATTGTCTGCTTTCTTCTCCTCTACAACCATTTCGTTCTTGTTTGGGGTTGCGCTCTCGATATCGAACACAGGTGGCGTATTTGGGCTAATTGGACTGGAACCGGAGTCATTAGATGAAGATGGATTGAAGCTTAAGGATCGCCTAGGAACAATGTTTATGCCTTTAGGGAGCTTTTTGGATTTGGGTTTGGAATTGGTGCTGTCGGAGAGAGTGCAGCGGTTTGCCGGGGGAGGATGGTTGTGTTCACCTGAATAGGCGACGATAAATAGGTTTGGATCCCTTGGGCTTTTCTCAATGTGTTTCCTCGCGTCGCAGTCTTTTGAAGTGCTACACCTATAGTAGTTCCTGTCATGTCATATACACAGAGAATAATAAGCATATCATTAATTAATAATGCAACCTTTTTTTATCACTGAAATTCAGAATTCATGAATGGGAGTTGTCGTGAAACTGCTGAAAAACAAAACCTCGGAAATAGAGACCCTTTGATTGGCTTCTGACCGTATTTACGCCATGCCCATGTAAAATCAATGAGTTCCTCTTGACTCACTTCATGGACTGTCTTTTCCGGCTGATTTTTCCTGTGACGACAATAAAAATTTCATTTTTTTTTCAATAGAAAGGAAAAAAGACACATACAAAAAGAGAGTTAACCATGATATATATATATATACCTTCTTCGAATTTGGATGATAGGATTTCTTATGGGAACAGCGATAGTAGGACGAACTTTTGCCCGCTTCAGAACTGGACGTGGATTCAGTTGCTGCGGAATCACTTTCTGCAGTGCTGCTGCTGGCACACGCGCTGCTGCTACTGCTGCAGCCGCTAGTGGTGGTGGTGGAGGAGGAATTGGTTGGGTTTGCTGAGCTGGTAATTGAATGGGCTGTAACAGCAGCTGTTGGTCATTTTGGTCATTCTTGACCTCATCAGCAATAGGAACACTGATAAAAGAAGGTTGAGGCGCATCAGGTTTTTGTTCATCCCTAGAGAATATGTCAGTTAAACCTTCGAAAGTCATGATGTCGTCATCACGATCATCATCTAAAAGACTATGGAAAAAATTCCAATCATCGTCCTTTTCAAAAGTCAGAGACTCTAAGCCTAAACTGGGAACTTCTACCTTGTTGGTGTCATGACTAGGTCTAATGTTATAGCTTCTTACAACCGCACCTAGATCCCAATTGTTGTCACCCATTTTCAGCTCTATATAAAATATCTAGGTAGCTACAGATAAAATGAGGAAGAGAGGATGATAGGTAGGCGCAAGAAATCTAAAGTTAAAAACAAAGAAATGCTAAAAAAACCTAATTCTAGCTATGTCTCTATCATGGTTTTCATGTGTGTGTGTGTTGTGTAAGTTACAGAAGAGAGTGGGGAAGAAGGGGCCCAAAAGACAGCGCTGACTTTTGGAGAATATAAGCTTATATAAAAATGGAGAAAAGAACTAAGTAAAAAAGGGCATTTGAGTGAGTGGGTAGGGAATTAGGACCAAACAGGGATGGATGAAGAAACTGACCAGGATTTGTTTATTATATATCGGGGAACTCAAGGGGGGTTACCTACCCACCCCACACGTCCACTTCTACTTAGCATTTAAAGCACAGCAATTGTTTTTTTCTCTTTTTTACTTCTGGGGTGAGTATGTGTGTGTTGGGGGGGGGGGGAGGGGCATTGGCATCTCTTGGAGCAGAAAAATATAATCTCTAGAAAAGGTCCCCCAAGAAAAGAAAATGTGCAATTTCAGTATATCAATTTTCATTGACGTGGCAAGAATGTCAAAAGTGGGACCAAAATAGAGACATCAACATTTTTTTGTGGCATACAATGTAGGCAAATATGTTTGGTGCACCATAAGCATAGCACAGAATTAAAATGTCACGAACTCTCATTTAGTAGCTGCAGCATATGCCTGCTTTCAAATTTTAGATTTTCCAGTGTTTGAAAAGGGGAAACACTACACGCGCTTACCCGTTTTGATGAAACACTCGAAAGCTTATTGGAAGTATCATATAGACTAATTACGTGGGGAAAAAAATATCAAAAGACAAAAGTCTTAGCTGCAAGAGTGGTTTTACATATATATATATATATATATATATATATATACCGAAGAATAAAGCTTTAAGAGGATGGTTACACTTCCTCTTTACATCGAAAAAATACTAGGTTCGAAAAAAAAATGTACGTTTCTCTTTTATGAACACACTCGTCTTTAGAAAAAAAAAATAAGTGGAAGGAGACAACAAAGATTTTTAAAATTACATATGCTCTAAATTGTCACAAATAAATATTAAAGCATGTAATATATACACATTTTCATAGTTGTAATAGATTGAAAACCCATCGTAAACAAAAATAATATATTTGAGTTTTTCTTTATATTTCTTTATGTTAGAATACTCAAATATTTTCCTTATTATCGCTGCGTATTTTCTCGAACCTAATACACTTTAATTTACAAGTTATGCTTCCTTGACTATTTTCTTAGTCACTTAATTAGTCGTTACATCATTTTCTTGAATGAATCAAACAAGGGTCTTGCATTTGTACAAATAAAAATTCTATACTAATAGGAGAAGCAAGCAAACAAACTCCTCATTGCGCGTGGGTTATGATTTATGACGATAATAAGGATATAGAATAGTGAATAAAGAAAGATAACTAGTCTTGAGGCATAACTCATAAGTAACAATATAAGGCCCACTCTCAGATTGTAGAGTGTTTTTCTCACACATCACCATTCGTCTCATTACGTAGTCAGCCGTCATCCATATGAATTATATATGGTGAACTTTTCTACTTTATCGTAACCTCAGGGTACTAATTTTTACCTTTTCGTTTCTTTGAGGGCATTCTCGTAAAATAGTCAGGATTTGCACGCAGCTGAAGACTTGGTCAAATAAAGAAGAGAACCTCGAAAATTGAAACTAAAAACAAGCCCTGCCAAAAATTGCTTATACACGTTGCGAGAAAAGTCTGAAGCAATTTGAAAAAATAAAGAAAATGACAAACAAAAGCGTTGAGGGGAGGATTAGTGAAAATTAAATCGGTGCTTATCTATTGAGTAATGGACATGGCCTCAAAAATTTAATGGCCTTTGCAATTTTTGCTTTCAGATTCTGATTTACCTCTCGCTCTTATCCTTCATAATCTCTTGTTTAAATGCTTCACTGGCAATGACGTGTCATTTTGTGGTACTCAACTTCGTTTTCTCCTCCTCAATATCTCCGGTTTTTTTTTTTTTTTTTTTTTTTTTTTTTTTTTTTTTTTTTTTACTTTACTGGTATCTGTTACAGTAGTATTCTTTTGGAGGAATTGATGATTTTAAATTAGTTATTATCTCATTTTTATGAACAATATTTTTGTTAATTGTACAAAGTCCTAACGAACACATTAGCTTTTGGATACCACGAAGTAAATAAATTTCATAAGCAATTTTTAAGTATGATAAACTGAATGAAAGAGTCGATTAAATAACTCACTAATTTATTATCTATTTTGTTGATCGATATTCACATTAATTGGTAAGAGCCAATTTTGCAAAGCAGTCATTTTGTCAAATTTCGGAGCAATGCATTTGTTATATATATAATATAATAGGCTGAGATAGCACTACAACATTATGCATCTATAGTTACAAAATTTTTGCTATAAATTTAATAATTATAGCTAATACCTAATAATAGCCACACAAATTGGAATTCCGTGGCTCTTTACAAAATTATAAAAATTCTTTGCCACGAAAATTAAGTTGGTAAAACTAATTCCTCGTATTAGCTATTCTTGCTAACAATCGTGGCAATAGCTATAAATTTATTGTTACAAATTTAATTTTGTAGTTAATCATAAGTTTTTGCCACGCGTCAATAGTTATTGTAGCAAAAGTAACTTTTTAGCTACAATAAATTATTTGAAACAAAATATTGTAGCTAAATGAATACTTTTGCTTCAAGTTTTAAAAAGTTGTGGCAGTAGTTAAATGATATAGCCACAAATTTATTACTATAACTGAATTTTGTAGCTAATCCTTAATTTTTTTTGCCACGAGTTGAAACTTACTATAGCTATAATAACTTTTTAGCCACAATAAAATATTTAAAATAAAATATTGTACCTAAATGAATATTTCTGCTTCAAGTTATAAAAAGTTATGGCAGTATAGGTTAAATTAGCCACAAATTTCTTGCTATAATAGAATTTCGTAGCTAATCATTAATTTTTGTCACGAGTTAAAACTTCATAAAGCAATAATAATTTTTTAGTCACAATAAATTTTTTAAATCAAAATGTTACTAAATAAATAATTTTGCTTCAAGTTCTTCATGGCCATAGTTGGCTTAGTAGCTATAATTATTTGTCACGCTAAAATGATACCACAAAATTGATAAGATAAAATTTTATAACTCATCATTAGTTTTTTTTTTCCACAAGGTAAATCTAGCCACATTAAATATTTGAACTACAATTTTGTAGTCAGATAAATATTTATCTTCTAAAATAAAAATAGTTAGATAAAAGTTAAAACTATTTGTCATGACAAAATTAATAGCTGCAAATTTAAAGAGACGATAAACTTACGAGTTAATTATAACTTTGGTCGTATAGTTAGGATTGTAACTGCAGTAATAGTAATTTAACCACAATAAGCTATATGTACAAAATTTCATAGGTGAGTATTTTTATTTCAGTGACAAAAATAAGAGTTGCTCAAACACAATCAAGTAATGAAAATTCAATTTTAACTATAGAAGTTAGATTTTCTCAAAATAATTGAAAATATAGTAATTATGTATAAATTGAAGTATTAATAACTTTAAAATAACAAACTAAATTGCAAAAGTTAATCTTCAATAATAGATCATTTGTATGCCTATTTGTAGCCTCAAAACTTGCCAATTTACTTTTATTTATCAAACTCATATTTTATTTTATTGCAACATGTTATATTATTTGGACGTTAATTATATATCTTTAGTGTAAAATTCAAAATATATTAACATATATAGAGAATTTATGTATGTCTTGTACTTAACTNCATTTTAAAAATAAGTCCTCATATATTGTAGAACTTTGTGATGATTTTGGTGCGAGAGAAATTCAAAAATAGCCAGATTTATAATTGGTCTATCAAAAATAGCCAATTTCAAAAGTAATCGAAATTTAGCCACTTTTCATGTAAAGATAAATCTGAGCGAAAACACTGTTCAAAATCCGGAAAATACGCCAGTATATTATGCTAGAGTTCCAGCATAAGTATACTTGAACTCCAGCATATTATACTGGAGTTTTAGGATAAGTATGTTGGAACTCCAGCATAATATGATGGAGTTCCAGCATAAGTACACTAGAACTCCAGCATAACATACTAGAGTTCTAGCAAGTATACCGGTCTCCAGTATATTATACTGGAGCCAACAAAGTATACCTGTCCAGCATAATATGCTGGAGCAGTGGCGGAAGCAGGATCTCTAGGAAGGGGGTTCAAAAAAAATATTGTAGCTAGTGGGAATTGAACCTATAATCTTAATTATGAAGGTTTTAAACCCCCTTGACCACTAAACTACACTTTTGGGTTGTGTTAAGGGGGTTCAAAACTTAATATATAGAGGTAAAAAATAAATTTTGCCTTATATATACAGTGTAATTTTTCGGCGAAGGGTGTTCGGATGAACCCACTTCCGCCCCCCTAAATCCTCCACTATGCTGGAGTTCATACACAGGTGCACCGAACTCCAGTATATTATGCTGGACCGGTCTCTGTTACAGCAAAATAGTGGCTATTTTTTATTGACTTGGTAAATGCTGACTATTTCTGAATGATCATTCCGAAATCTGGCTATACCGTGCTATTTTTACATTTAATTTTGATAAATGACCAAAGCTCCAAAATACATACAATGAACATATTTAACACTACAAAACATTTATGAAATTATAATTCATTAATTTTATATAATTCTGTTATCGCTATTTACACAAAGAATTACGAAATTAATTGATACCTAAGTCCTCATGAAAACTAATTATGTTATAATTCTTATTAAATATAATGGAATTATAGCTAATTAATGTGTGGATGACTAATTATATAAACTTTAAACAGCTATAATCTTGTACCATATATGCGCACACACACTCTTAAGTCCACAGGAAAAATAATTATATATATATATATATATATATAAGTTTCTAATTTTCACAAATTAAATTATACATCGAACATAAGAATTGAGAATTAAATATGATAAAGATATAGGAAGAGGATCATGTTTCTCTTGTGACTGTTATTTGATATTTTATAATATTTACATCATTCAATATTATTAAGTTTCACTTCAAAAAAATTTAAGATTTTAATATGGGTTATATAGCAGTGTATAACAAAACTAACAACTAGTATATCATAATTCATATTAAAAAATTATACTTGTAATTTTCAATCCATTTTAATTAAGTATGTAATTAATTTTCATTAGATTTGAATAAACAATATCAAATTTAGACAAGATGTTTGTATCTATGTACATTGATCGCTAATTACACTCAATTTAGACAAATAGAAAAGTTATTTATTTAATGGTTTAATACTATTTTAATAACTTAATAACTATCGTAATCTACTTAAACACTAAAATTAAGAAGTTAATATAATTGAAATAGGAATACATAAGAAAACTAATAATATCGTATAGGACAAAAAAAAAGTTATAAAGAATATAATATATTATAGAATATTTTTATGTCATGCAAGTTAATATTTTTATTTTATTTAGTATAAATTATGTATTTGATCTTTTGTATTTTACATGGACAATTTTTTTACTTACTTGCCTATGTTAGGAGTAGTACTTACGTTTCTAGCATTTATGGCATTTGTAATATATTAACTAAGAAATAAAAGGAAGCAAATATATATTAAAAATAGAAAAGGAACATAAAGGCCTATTGGCCCAAACCAAAATTCACAAACCTAATAACATTCTCACTTTATATGTTTCCCTACCCTGCCGCCAACCCCATCCCCCCTTTTCCATTTCCTTCTTCAACAGTGACTCTCTTCACATGAAGAGAGCAAACCAGCGGAATCACTGGCTAAATAGCCCGATGGCTTCTCTTTTTTCAGGTATATTTATGTATATATATCTTAGGATTTTTAGATCCCAATACACCTATTTGATTTAAAATTTGGGATTTATATTATAATAATTTGATAGATATTTTGTCGTATTGTGATAGGTATTGAGTGGTACTTTGAAGATTAAAATGTAATATTGGGAGGAGCCGCAGTTCGTCGAAAAGACATTACAAAAATGAGATGAGAATTCTTTCAAAAGTTTTTTAAAAAGTATACAGGTTTATTTTCTTATCTTGTTGCTTTGAGTTTTCCCCTCTTATTGTATACTAAAAATTCTTGTATTAATGCGCTTTTTGGTTCACTAATTCTTTTGTGTTAATTATTATTTCTTTTAAATTTATAGGGTGCATTTCAATCTATTCAATGCAAGAAGATTAAGTATTCAACCTTGATGCAAAGAGTGAAAGTACTTCATCCTTGACTGCAGAAGATCATCTGGTGACGACATCTGAAATTCTCGGAGCAAATACTTAGAACATAGTTTTCTTTTGATGTGGAACCCTTTAGAATTTTATAGATTATAGATAATGGTGCATAATTTGTATTATACTCCTATTAGTTTGACAAGAATGTGAGTTTAACACTGTGTTTGGATGGTTGTTTCCGGTTGTATTGTATTGTATTGTTACCTCACATACAATGTTTGTTTTGATTGTTTATATAAAACTGATTGTATCGTATTGTTTAATCCATTGTTCCGAAACAATGAAAAACTCCATTTTATGAAACAACCAAATCCGCGTGGTGGGATTGTTTCGTATTTTCCTTTCCAATTATGCCCACACTTATTATTCTATATTTCAATTTTACCCTTTACCCTATTATTTATATTATATTCACCATAATAAGTACTTTGTCTAATCTTGTTTCTGTCGTGCAAGTCAACAGACGGTATCGTCTCTTTCCAATTTCCAACCAACTTTTTACAGGTTAGGTCTCTTTCCAACGACGGTATCCTCTCTTTCATCTATTTTCGTTGAGTGGAGTCATTGTAGTAAATTTACTTTTGTAAACATATGAAATATAAATATCGACGGGTATGAATTATAGTATTATTTCTGTTGCATCATTACTCTTATTACGTCACTTTCCTTACATTGA